TAGGGTGGGCTGGATAAGTTTTTGGTAGCCTGCTTTGTTATCAGAAGTTTGGTAATAAGCCTTACCACTAGAACACCACTTCTCTTCAGCATTAAGCATTTCTCAACCAGTTAAAGGATTGATGATTGTATCATGAATGAGAATGGAGAGCATCACCTGGTGTGAGAACAGAAAGAACATTCTTCTCACATCATCAGGAACTAGAATGGGTCAATGTAGAACACAAGGAAGTGGAAATTTGGCAACTGCAGGATGGCTGTTCAGTGCAGTCACATCTGAAAAACTCGCCGCAGGGGTTGTTATTCAGATGGAGCCGTCCACACTGGCCAGAGAACCTGGAAGAGTGCCAGACCTCCACTTTTGATGGTAATGGATAAAGGCTTGGACTGCAAAAAACACCCACCTGAGATAGCAAGTTTGTCGGAGAAACTCATCTTTCAGAGCTTTCTCCAGGTGATAACACACCCCTCTGTATGGCCAGCCAGGGGGAGTATGCAGTTGGTGGAAGCGAGCAGTTTCTTTGTGCCTTGAAGCATGCACACCTCTGTCTCGATGTGCCTACGATCTATGAAACGCATGCTTTGTTGAAATAATGAAATTCTTTGGTCCTTGGTTTTATGAAAGGCAATATTTTCACAATCCTGTCAACATGGGCATCAGCAAATGACTTCAAGCTGGGACTAATGGCGCAGGGACAAATTAAATACTAGATGAAAAACTCTATACCTTCCAAACTTCCCAGAATCCCCCGAGCTCCAGCATCAGGTCAGGTGTGGGGCTAATGAGGCATGATCAAGCCAACAGATGCTGGAGCTGAAGTTTAAAACTAGATGTCAACTTTTCATACTTGCAAACATTTGAAGCATATCTCCATCCCAGTGGTAGATAAGTTAACTTTATGAATATTATTCAAAATGAACCAAATTGTAACTTGACTTTAGCCATACTATAGTCTTGGTCTCAAAATCATCCTTAAAGCCTAGGAACAGAGAATCAGTTGGTACTGTGACCAACTGAAAGGAATCATCATTTTAAGGAAATTTAAATCCAATTTTTAGTTGGTTTTACTAGGTCCCAAGCACAATGGACACACACCACCAATGAGCTCCATGACTTGTGCTCCATTAAAACAGCCTGGGTTGGATGGACTCAGCCAATGTGTATGTTCTGCATCTAGTTTGCCTTTGCCCTGCTAAACATGGGTTTCGTATGGCTTAACACACACAGTTCATTGATGAAACGCTCAGGACACATGGGAATGCTGATTGTATAACTGAAATGAAATTCAGATTGTCTACACAAGACTCACATGTAAACTTTATTAACATCTCTCAAGGAATGCTGATCTCAGCCAGGTTGGACGTTTCCAAGTCACCCACAAGGAACCTGGGGTCAACCACCAGGGTCAGGAGCAGGAAATGCCATTTGTTCAGAACAAAGGATGGACTAGCAGTCCTCCCTGTGACCGTGTCTGAATCAGGTGAATAGTACAAAGGTAGCTCCAGAAAACCTGTCCTTGGTTCATGTATTTGGCCAAAGACAATCACCAAGGTGCCTAACTGGCCCCTGCAGCCATCAACTCAACCAAACTCTTCAGATAAGCCATAACTTACAGACTGCATGGCGTCCATCAACATGGCTTACATTGCTTGGAAGAAACAACCCGTATTACCCTTTGTTTTTGTTTTTTTGCAACAAGCTTAAGGCTCTGTTCACAAACTCCATCAACTGCCACACAGTGAGAAATTTATGGGGAGATCTTAAACTACATATGTAGTTGTAAAGGTTGGAAAATTTACTGATCCTAATGGTAAGGCTTATTCACAAATGCAATACATTTTCAAATTACACTTCAAGAAAAAAAAAATAATTAGCCTGCTCTCTAATAATATAAGAGCATTAGAGTCTAATGGGGAAAAAAACACACACACAAAAAAACACAAAACCATTGGCACCAAACCAGTATGCTATTTTTTGAAAGAACAAGTGATATTAATGAAAAAGATTGCCTAAAACGCATATTCTAACTTACCACAGAAATATAAAAGTTTATATTCTGAAAATATATACTGTATTAAAGTCTGTAAGCATTTCAACCAAAATTTGCAGAAATAACTAAGAGATACTTATCTACAACAAAAATATACATGCAAGACAGCCCCCAAATGGTTTCCCTTAAATATCTACAAAGGCAAAGTGTAGATTTTTAAAGATTATACAAAACCATTTACAGAGAATAAAATAAAATACTTAAGAAATCTCATTTAGAGTCTTAAATACTGTGTATATTAGTGAGTGTCTAAACTAATATATACAACAGACCTAAGTATCTGAATATAGAAACACAAAGGAGAAGCAAGTCTGCATTTTAAATATTCACTTAGGAACATTTGAAGATGTTTGTACGTGTTTCTCTTTGTTTAAAAAAACTTCCACAGAAACTAGATTGTAAAACTGCATGAATGTAACTAAATTTCAAATTTTAAAAAGTTTACAAATTTTTAAGCCAACAGTTAATAATGGGAAATGCAATTCAGCCTTCAGTCAAGGCTATTTTTAAATGTGGAAATTCAGAGATACAGTTGCATTGATCAAAGTCTATTGTGATTATTACTTTTCCATCCTCATACTAAACTTTATATGGGGGGAAAAAACACATTTCCGTAATTCAGAGAGAACATTTCCTAATTTAATCTAAATTGAACAAGAATAACATTTTAAATCATTTCTCTACTACCTTCTCATAGTTATCCAATTTCATCCTTAAAGGATAATTTTTGATGTTTTTTGCCCACGAACATTATTCCAAAGCCAGCAGAGACACGTGGGTACATCAGCATTAGCCGGTGGCTTCCAAATGCTGAGGAGCCCTGATCACCTTCTACAAAAAGGCCTCTTGGAATGTGGGCCATAAACTCAAGTGTTTCCATTACAAGATGCTGATACCAATCTCAGGGACTGGAGCAGAGAAGAGTCCTAATGCACGGCTAACAAGATGGCAAGCAGTGGGCTGCCTAGAAGGTTCCTTGACTAAAGAGGTACCCTTAACTTCCCACCCACGACTGTTTTTCCAACCTCACAGGTAATTCTGGAATGCGGCTGCCAAATCAAGGTGCAATTCCTAAAGTCTTGCCCAGGAATTGCAGACACAGGGTGGGGTGAGGTGGTGTGGGGTGGGGTAAGTTGAGGCAGGGCGGGGTACAGACAAAGCAGGGTAGAGAGTGAAGAAAAGGGCACTATGGGCAAAGAGAGAATTCTGGGATATAAGATAAGATAAGGAAACCTAAGCCCTATTTCAAGAAAGCTATTAGGACAAACCCTGACACACCCACAGGTCTGGTATTTTCCATCCCAAGGCAATTTGCTATATGTCACCTGGATTTCACCTACACTTGATCAAAACAACTACCCAGAATGTGAAAAATTCCAGAACTTCAGTCTAAACAAATTTAACCAACTTTTGCCCAATTTGTGGAACATCCTTCTTGATTTGACAATATGGAAACAACCAACATAGACCATCATTTGAAACACTTCCTGTTATAACCAGAACCTAGAAATTAACGGGAATTCCACCTTAGTAATGGTTTCACATTCCTACCTTATCACCAGAGATCCTTGAAATGTTTGTAAGTTTAGATTTGTGATATGTCTGAAGCTAAAATATTTCTGGTGTTTTCAGCAAGGAGCAAAGATGGACACCGATTGAAAGAAATCTCCAAACATTCTCTTCCATCTCCAACAAGAATACTGACACTGCTTCTATGATAAACACGTCTGTCCCTAAAAGGTAAACAGAAAGCAAGGGTCTCTGACTTTAGAGGATTTAGCAATGCTACACAGATTATCTGCCACAACACATAAGAATGAGGTCTAGGGGCTTCAGAGAAGCATACATTTGCTTTCTCTAAGGAAGGCATAAAACCAAGTGGAAATATGATAATAGGCATTTGGGCAAAAGCAGATGTTTCTCTAGAATAATTCCCTATATTCTAGGTCAGCAGTTCCTACAGGATCCTATGTGAACAAAGAGAAGGGCACATAGGACTTCAATGTGATCTTCCTCTGGCTAGATTCATCCAAGGCGACTGTCCCCTGCTGGCTCCCCATGGCCAAGACAGCCTAGATGGAGAAAGGTAGAAGGTAAGAAGCTTCATGAAGTCATAAAGAAACTCAAAAGCAGAGGGAACCAAGGCCATCTTAAGGATCAAGAGTCCAGATAAACCTCAGATTCACTGTCTAAAGGACCATGTCTCTAATCATAGACTAGGCACTCAACATATCTCTGAAATACAAAGCTCAGAGCCATGAGCCTCTCTATCTGCCTGGTCACCTTCCAGAAAGAAAAAGGACCAGACAGAGATTCATAACCAACCATAGCAATGACCCTCCATTGCTCAGCCCACTTCCCTTCCCCAGCTACGCCCAACTCTTGCTGCTTCACTCAACTCTCCAAGGAAGAGTCATGAGAGACGGGTGACAAACATAGGAAGAGAGAAGACAAGTGAGCAAAGAGCCTCTGAGGATACTCAGGGGCTGCAGAGTGAAGATAAAGCACATCCCTGGTTTCTCCTAAGAACAAGGATTCCCTCATTATACCAAGAACCATTCTACAAGCCGAGGACCTGGCACAGAGCAATTCCTTTTGGCCGCAGACATCCTCCCACTTTCATCTCTCTGAATTTTATTTCTACATGGTTCCTTGCTACAGTGCACCGAACCGCATAAACCTCACATGGGATTTGGTCCAGGGCAGTATGAAAATAGTATCTGTGTGAAGACAGATATCATAATATATAAACAAAAATAAATAAATTAAATAAGTCTGATTAAAGAAAAAAAAACATTTTCCTAGAAGTTTATGTTTTTGCAAAACTAGCTTTACATATAATACACATAAATTATCAGAATTTCCACTTACATTGTTTTAAAAATATATATATTTAACAAAACATTCCTAAATGTACAATATCTGGTTTTGTAAATCACTCGGGTGGGTTTTATGACCAAGCCCTAAAAGTTATACAGATTTGCATCAGAGAGGAGACTGAGGCTGGCTCTACACTAATGTTTTGCTCTTCCATCTGGAAATTCCCTAAGATGGACCGTCTCCCTTCCCCTGATCTGCAACGTAACCAGAACGCGCATGCTGGCCCAGTCTCCAGAAGAGGCACTGTGCAGACGCAGTCTGAGTCAGAAAAATGGGGAAACTGGTCTTCCCCTTCCTGGACTTGGATGGTGCATTTTAACAAGTGGGGACAGGACAGTACCTGGCAAAGGCCTGGGAAGATATAGCCCTCATAGCTCTCTAGCCAGGGGGGTAGGGACACTGGGGAGGCCAAGTACACTGCGTTTCCCATCTGTTACACAAAGTCAAACCAATGAAGAACAACCAATGCAAACAAAGAAATTAACACAACTCTAGGTATAGAGACACCTTGACAAACTCCTTGGCCGGGCTTACACTGGGCTCCGATTTCTGAAACACAGGGCAAAAGCCGGAAGTTAAGTGCCCTTGATCATTGCGGCCAGTGAGCCGGGGCCCTTCAGACTTCGTAGATTTTGTCCTGCAAGTAGCTGAACAATGAATCCAGGCCTTTGGAGGAACTCCAGAGCTGCTTCAGCATGAGGCATTCTTTCTCATTCACATCTTCAAGCACCGATTTCAGGAAGCTGCGGACAAGGCATTTCGACTCCTCCAGCACCTGAAGGGAAAGGCACAGGCCTTGTTAACTAGGCACCAGGGACTCTGCTCCAGAAGAACACACGTGGCTTGTGAGGCACCAGTCAACCTCCTGATGCCCAAAGGCAAGGAGGCTGCCTACTGCAGCCTGGGTTTCCCAGGACTGTGTCCCCAGCAATGCCAGGAATGGGTTCCACGTGTGCTATGATGTTGAGCCCACAGTCCCTGGAATGACTGAGTGGAGCCCACATCATCCCCAACCCCAAGAGCTTTGATTTTTAACCAAGGGCAACATAATTCGTATCGCTTTCTATGGTGTCATGAAAATGTTTAGAAAACACTACTTTCACCTCCTTCTGCTTCATTCTCACTATCTGTGAGAGGGCAGTAATGATACCTAGCTCAGGGATGGTTGGGGTCACAGAGTAAGGTAATGACATGAACTAAAGGTTGACCAAGCATCCATCTGAGCCACCACAACAGCAATGCCTCTCCTTCAGGCTTAGTATTATAGTAAGATCAGTGGTAATAATGGTAGCAATCACTGTAATAATGAGTATAATTACAATAATTGTGGTAATGAGCGAGAATAGTAAGAATAAAAATAATAGTAAAACTGTAGTATAATATTATAGAAGTAATAATAGTAGTAATGTTAAAGGAGCAATAGTAGTAATGTCAGTAACATAGTAGTGAAAATGGTGACAATACTAACAGTACTATAGCATGATAGCAGTAATTACAGTAATGATTATTAGTAATGCAGTGGTAATAATAGTAACAATAATCATAGTAATGAATAGTAACAATTATAGTCATCATGGTGTTAATAATACCAACCCACTATAATCACCATTAACCAATAAGGTCTATGAGCAGTACTTTTACTTCATTCTGTCATTTCTTGCTCACGATAGCTCCATGACTAAGTAGTCTCCACAGGAGACATGAAGGACCCGCACTCAACAAGTGAAGTTGCCAGAGATGCCTCATGGACATGGCTGCAAACATCTGGCTAATTCAAACAGGCTGCACTGCCGCTTCGTTCTGGCAGAGGCCCTGCTGGGAAGTGCAGCATCCGAGCACTCCTCCTTTGGTCTCCACCATCCTCTGCTGATGTCAGAACTTCAGTTCCCATTCTCCAAAAGCGTGTGCACACAGAACAAGGCAAGACAAGAGCTCTCTTGCTCCAGCAGTCAGGGAAGGGGCCGTGATCGTATTCCCAGCCTGGGCTAGAAGCTAACAGGCAGTGAGGATGGGCTGGCAAACCAAGACTGCCTCTTTCCTCCCAAGAATTCCTCTGAAAAACACCAGAGGCTGTGGGTAGATTCCCTTCTTGGGGAAATCAACCCAAAGCTCCTGAATTCATAAACATCAATAGGAGATATTTCCTTGCCATATTTAACAGCTGGTTTCACCTGAAAACCTCCATTGCCCGAAGACCCAACTCCTCAGCGGGGCTCGGAGGCCTTTCTCCCACCTCCTTTTCCTACTTTGTCCCTTGATTGCCCTGGGCAACTGCTCACACCACTGTGAGTTGCCACCTTACTTCCCCATAGGTTTGGAACTCATGTGCTCTAACTCACACTGCTGCTGCTTCTTAGTATTTCTACCTGCCTCTCCAAATTGGAACAGAAGAAGTAAAATTTGTCATTGTATGTGGATGGCCTGTTATTATATATGAAAAACCATAAAACTGTTAGATCTAATAAATGAATGCAGTTAGGTTGCAGGACACAAAATTAATATTCATAAATACATTGCATTTCTATATCTTTAAAAACAATCCCATTTACAATTGCACCAAAATGAATAAAATACCTAGGAATAAATTTAACCAAGGAGATTAAACACCTTTACTCAGAAAACTCTTAAGACATTGATGAAAGAACTGAAGATGACACAAATAAATGGAAGGATAGACCATGCTCATGGTTTGGAAGGATCGACATTTTTACAATGCCCATACTATCCAAGGCAATCTACAGATTTAATGCAATCCCTATAAAAATGCCAATGACATTTTTCATAGACTTAGAACAATAATCTTAAAAGAACTTTTTAAAATAGTTTTATTATTTTCAGAGAGTGAAGAGAGAGAAAGATAGAGAGAGGGAGGGAGAAACATCAATGTAAGAGTAAAATACCAGCTGCCTCCCCTACCGTGTCTTCAGCCTGCAATCCGGGCATGTGCCCAGACCAAGAATCAAACAACAACCCTACAGCGCACAGGACGATGCCTGACCAATCAAGCCACACCAGCCAGAGCAATAATCCTAAACTTTATATAAAATCACAAAAGATCCCAAATTGCCAAAACAATCTGGAGGAATAAGAACAAAGTTGGAGGTATCATGTTCCCTGGTTTCAAACTACACTATAAAGTTATAGTATTCAAAATAGTATAGCAATGGCACAAAAACAAATAGTTCAATGGAACAGAACAGAGAGTCAGAAATAGACCCATAATTCTATGGTCAATTAATCTACAACAAGGGAGGGAAGAATATATAATGAAGAAATGACAGTTTCTTCAATAAATGGTATTGAGGAAAACTGGATAGATACATGCAAAAAATGAATATGGACCATCTTCCTTCCTCCATATACAAACATAAGCTCAATACCATAAAACTCTTAGGAAAAAAAACTTGAGCAGTAAACTTTCTGACATCAGTCTTAGAGATATTTTTTGGATATGTCTCCCTGAGCAAAGGCAACACAAGCAAAAGTAAAAAAATAAATAAATAATGAAATTACATCAAACTATAATAGAAAGCTTTTGCATAGAGAAGGAAACCATCAATGAAAAAAACCATCCACTGAATGGAAGAAGATATTCACAAATGCTACATCTGATAAGGGGTAAATATTCAAAATATATAAGGAACTCACACTTTAACACACACACACACACACACACACACACACACACACACACACACAGAAAAGACCCTACAAACAATCCAATTAAAAAATGGACAGGGGACCTAACTAGATATTTCTTCATCTGTATGGCATAGAGGACATACAGATGGCCAAAAGACACATGAAAAAATGCTCAAAATCATTTATCATCAGGGAAATTCAATCAAAACTACAATGAGATATCACTTCACACCGGTCAGAATTGCTATTTCTAAAAAGCCAACAAATAAGTGTAAGTGAGAATATGATGAAATGGGAACCCTCATGTATTGTTGGTGAGGTTATAAATTTGTGTAACCACTGTGGAAAGTGGTATAGAGATTCCTCAAAAAATTTAAATACAAAACTGCCATACAACACAGCAATTCCACTTCTGGATATATATTCAAAGAAACAAAAACACTAATTCTAAAAGATATATGCAGCCCTATATTCACTGAAGTATTATTTAAATAGCCAAGATATTAAACAACCCAGGATTCCAACAGTAAATGGATGGATAATGAAGATTATACACATACACACACAATGAAATATTCTTCAGCAATAAATAGGATGAAATATCACTATTTGCAACAACATAGATGGACTTAGAGGGTATCTATGCTAACTGAAGTAAATCAGAGAAAAATAAATACCATATGATTTCACTTATATGTGGAATCTAAAGAAAAAATAAACAAAACAGAAACAGACTCAGAAATACAGAGAACAAACTGATAGTTGGCAGATGGAAAGAGGGTTGAGGGACTGGGTGAAAAAGGTAAAAGGATTAAGAAGTACAAATTGGTACTCACAAAATAGTCACAGGGATATAAAGTATAGCATAGGGAATACAGTCAATAATCTATAATAATAAAAGCATAATATGCTAATTAAACCAGACAGTGGTCCTTCCAGACATCCTTCTGGACAAAGCCGGGCTGTGAGGACTGAGGCAGTTGCTGCGGCTGTGAGGGCTGAGCCCCTTTGCAAGAATTTTGTACATCAGGTCTCTAGTATTATAACTATGTATGGTGCCAAGTGATTATCAGGTGAATATCTACATAAATTACACAAGTGTCTAAACACTATGTGGTACACCTAAAATGAACCTACATTAATAAAAGAGAAATATGCAAATTGACTATACATCCATCAACCAATCAGGAACAAGCATGCAAATTAACCCAACAAAGAAAATGGGTTAATTTGCATACACAGGTGCAGAGCAACAGGATGAGGTGGGATGCCTGCTAAGAGGGAGAAGGCAGTGGGGGCAGAGGAAGTTTCAGGAGTGGCGCTGTGGCCAGGAGTGAGGACTTGCAGGCTCCCAGGTGGCCAGGAGTGAAAGCCAGGGGAAGGAAGGCCTGTTCTTGCACAAATCTTCTATACTTCTATTTATACTTATATGTATAAAATAATGCTGAATGTCAAAACTAATTAAAAAATTAAAAACACAAATAAAAAATAAACAAAATCAAAGAATAAACAATACACAATAACAACAGACTCAGATACAGAGAACAAACTGATGGTTGCCCAGAGAAAATGGGATAGGGAGATTGGTGAAAAAAGTGAAGGAGATATGAGGTACAAACTTCCAGTTATAAAATAAATAAACCAGGGAGATGTAATTAATTTACAGCACAGGAAGAATTAATAATATTATAATAACTTTGTATGCTGACAGATGGGATACTAAACTTATCGGGGTGATCACTTTGTAAGGTATATAAATGTAGAATCTTTATGTTGTTTACCCGAAACTACTATAATATTGTATGTCAACTATACTTTAACAAAAACATTCTTTAAAATGTCTACCTGCCTATGCAGCTGACTCTGGGGTCATCAACCATCCCCATTTGCCTAGGACCAGGGGGTTTCCTGGGAACAAGGGGTTTTCAGTGTTAAAACCAGGGTAGTCTCCATAATCCTCGAGAATATTTAAAGAGAATCCATATAAGGAGAATCCATGGTAAGTGTTCATGAGCAATTCAGGACTATCACCACCCATCACCACCTCTGGCACAGTCAGGCCTCCAGGGCGCAGAGTTTGCATACAGTAGGTGCCCAATAAAGGCTGGTGAGTCCAATCAGGAGTGCACAGCAGCTCGGTGGGGGTTCAGGAGAGGCAGGGAGAAGGGAGGGAGGGTCACAGGTCTGACCCCATAAACCCAGCACAGAAAGCGTCCCCTGGCCTTGTTCTTCGGAGCTTCGTTCTCATTTCCTGAGCAGGCCCTGTGGTTGCAGGGGTGGCCTTTCTTCCACCTCTCAACAGGATATTTCCACACCATGCTCAGAGTGACTTTTATGAGATAAAATCAACACTTAGTTAAAAATCGGCGCCTCTGAGGAGGTGTCATTTTTTTATCTATTTTTCAGTGTGTCTTCAGGGTCCAGCGGCAATGCTTGAATGTGCCAAGTGCGCAGTGGGCAGGGAAATACAAGGACCGTGTGGGCTGCTTCCTCCCGTCCCTCCGCTGGTTTCATACTCTTTGCCCTTATTTGCCTTTGCTTATTGTTTCTTTGAAAACTATACATGTTTTGTGTCTGGGGAGTGTAGAGGACTTTCTTTTAAGGCAATGCCTTCTTCCCCAGAGTATAAATCTCTTCTGTGAGGTTTTTCAAATTGGAGATGATGGGGAATACTAATAATGCTGGCCGTCTCCCTCCAGATTTATGCTTTCAACATGGAGACAAGGCATCTGGTAAATTACACAGGGCCTCTCAAGTACTCCCTGCATGGCCTGTAGCAAGTCCATTAGTTTCTGTCAGCTCACTGCTTTCATCTGCAAAATGGATCTCTCTCTTCGTTTTTTAAGTAACTTCAGAGAGGAAGAGAGAGAGGGGGGGGTGGGGAGGGAGAGGGAGAGGGAGAGGGAGAGTGAGAGGGAGAGGAAGAGGGAGAGGGAGAGGAAGAAAGAGAGGGAGAGGGAGAGGGAGAAGGAGAAGAAGAGAGGGAGAGAGGGAGAGGGAGAGGGAGAGGGAGAGGGGGAGGGAGAGAGGGAGGGAGAGAGGGAGGGAGAGAGGGAGGGGGAGAGGGAGAGGGAGAGGGGGAGGGAGAGAGGGAGGGAGAGAGGGAGGGAGAGAGGGAGGGGGAGAGGGAGAGGGAAAAGGAGAGAGAGAGGGAGAGAGAGAATGAATCATTGATTGGCTACCTCCTGCATGCCCCCTATTGGGGATCAAGCCCACAACCTGAGCATGTGCCTTGACCAGGAGTCAAACCATGATCTCCTGGTTCATAGATCGATGCTCAACCACTCACCTACACCGGCTGGGCTCTTGCACTGACGAGAACACAGAGACACAGGACTCACCAGTGCACTGCAGGACGCCATCTCCTTGACTCTCAGCATGACCTCCTGGCTGAACGTGGTTGGCCAGAAGACCTGGGACACCAGTCCTCTGCTGCAAGCCTCCTGGGCAGTGAGCTTCCGCCCACAGAAGAGCATCTCATTGGCCTGAAAAAGCAAAGGCAGGGGAAGGCTGAGAGCCCGGAGCACCTCTCGTGTCTGCTAGCGAGGCCTGCACTTGCTGTCAGTGTTCCAGGTCTGGAAGGCCCAAGCCTCAACCGGGTCCAATAAGCTTTGGAAACTATAATCAAACACTGTGTTTATGTGCATCTTTCTGAGCATAGAGTCCACGGATTTCATTAAATTCCCAAAGAAGCCATGTAACTACTGTAGCTTTGGTTGCCCAATTATCCCCCATCTACATGTCTGGCAGCAGACCCACAGAAATAGGCACACACCTCCAACTGGGTGCATTTCGGTGCTGCACGGTGACTGGCCTGGGGTCGACCAGATGATCCACCCTAGATAACCAAGCTCTCAATGGGGTTTCCAAGCTAAAGGCCCTGGGAAGTATCTTTCTCCTTCTCTGGTTGCTGGCAAAAGTCAGTGAGCTCAGGCCACCGACTGCTGTGTCCCCGCTCTGTGGAGAGGCAGGTCCACAATGAAGGAAGGATGGCGGACAGGAGAACTGACAGTACTTGAATTCCTGGAGCCATCACCCACCTGGGGCATTCCACTTCTGGACTTATCAGTTATGGAAATCATTCTTCCTCCCCCTGCTCCCTTTAAGGCAAAGTGTTTTCATCACAGACAGCCAAAAGGGTCTTGTGTAACTAACGCCATAACACCAACTCAGAGCCGTGTCTCTCCTGGTGGCCCAGGGCTGTGCACAGACACTGCCCAGTCTTGAAAGGTGGAAAGTAACCCCTGCCTTCTGAGGGCTCCTCTGCATCCCACTCCCCAAAAAACTTCCTTTTGTTTTGGAGTTCACAGCTGTCAGACTTCTGGGAGGACTTGCTCCCAGGAGTGGATAAGAGCCTGGGCACAAACAGAGCATAGTGCTGTCACCGCTGAAATTTACCAACAGGTGACTCTCACACTGATAATTAGGGCGCGATGGCCATGGCCATGTGACAGGGTCCTTATCTCTTTCAGGATGATGAGTCTCTGCTTCCCCCTTTGTTCTGATTGTCACTGATAGGTCATGGTGACCCACAGGACAATTTTGCACTCCAGAGTGGAAATCTTGATCAGGTCACAAGTACATAGAATGCATTTGGTTAGAGGTTGGAAGACAAACATATATGTCATTATACTTATTTAGGAACACCTCGGTCTCAGGAGAAATGAAAGGAACTCAGTAGAAGGAGCCAAACAGGATGTAGTCTACAAGAACATGTCTCCAACAGCCACATTCTTGGAGTTTCAGAAATGATTGCAATGAAGGAGGAAAAAAGAGATAAGACTATACGAAGTTAACATTTCTGTGACCACAGAGGACTGGGAGGAACTGGAGTGGCAGTGAGCTGGGGCAGAACACAGTGGCTGAGATCAAAAGGGAAAGTGTTGCTTCCCAGGCTCCCTGCCTGCCTCATTTTTCTGCCGCCCATGAGACTGAACGGCCTGGAGCAGCCCCCAGGGCACTGCTGAGTCCGAATGGCCTTATCTGTCCCCACTGCAGGCCCTGCTGCATAGACATCGTACTGGTGGGTTTGAGGGCTGAGCGTAACCTCTGCTGGTCTCTTGGTTGCTATTCCTGCTTCATGCTACCATCAAAGAGAGACAGCCCACTCAGAAGGGGTGGGAGGGCAGCTCCCATCCTTTGAGACTCAGTCAAGCAGTGCCCCCGCTGGGAGCCTCCTCACTCGCCCCTGTGAGGTTTGGCCCTGTTACTTGGATGGTGATTCTTTGGTAGTTTTCTGGGGTCTCCCAGGACCACCAGCATCTGCAGGAAGAATGCTCCCAAGCAGTCCTGGAGGACCGAAGCAGACCTTGGTGAAGGCTGCACCACATCAAATCCATCTCAAAATGCTACCTCTCAGACACAGTAGACCAACCACTTTCTGAACACCATATCCTAGTGGTGCTAGTCGCAGACTCACTCATCAGAGATTGGTTCCATTTTATAGCATATTGGTTAAGAGCACAGGCTCTGTCTGTGTTCATATTCCACAACTTCCATTGCTGCTGTGTGACCTGAGACAACTCACTTAACCTCTGTGATTCTCAGTCTCCACATCTGTCAAGAGGGAATAACAGTAGTCCTACTTTACAGGTGTGTCTTGAGGATAAACTGAGTTAATGGCTGTCAAGCACTAGCCCCACTCTATGCAGATGGTGGCACAGGGTGTTGTCACCATGGCCTCTCTGAGCTCAAGACTCACCCCTGCCCGGACTTGCTTCTGGCTTGCTAGTGTAGAGTCGAACCACAGCCTACAGTGGGTTCTATGACCTTGCTTGAGCACCACTCTGCCTGCTTACGAGGAGGCTTACCAGCGCGACACCCAGGATCTGGGGGAAGGTGTACGAGGAGCAGCCGGCGGGCGTGAGGCGGATGGTGGCATAGGGGGTCTGAAACCAGGCCTTCTCGCTGGCCCACACGATGTCGCAGAGGGGCAGGATGGAGGCACCCAGGCCCAGGGCGGGCCCGTTGATTGCCACCACGATGGGCTTCTTAAACTGGATAAAGGCCTTCACAAAGTCCCTGGGGAAAAGAGAAGACCCTCTTTAACAGGTGGCCAGGCTTGCTGAGATCATGTGACGCCCTTGATTGTAGTGAGGCTGAAATAGCTTCCCCAGGTGCAGTGAAGCACCTGTAGGTCCTCAGAGAAGAGTGGGTGCCAGGCCAGGGTCTCATTCTCCCAGACGCTGGGCCACTGAGCTGCAGTCACAGGCATGCCACCCTCTGAGGTTGGTGCCAGTTTGCCAGAGGGGACCTAATGGGTAACCACTTGTCAGGGTCTACCCACACGGCCCTAGGTCATGCCCATTGAGCTAACACTGCCCTTCTACTCCCTACACACTGACAAAAAACTGTACATATCCCTAGAAAGACAACCTGAATGTTAAGATACAGAACCAGAACCGAACCAAAGAGAGGGTGTTACAAAGAAGCATATTTGAACTCAAGGAGAGAAGGAATGTTCCAACAGCACTGGCTGAAGGTGGGGTGATGGCTCCAGGAGGTGTGAACTCCTCATTATCGGAAATAGCCTTGGCTCGATGATAACTTTAGGTGAAATTATAGAGAGAATTCAAGCTTTGAATGGTGGACATGGGTAGGGATTGATGACATCTAAGATGTCTTTCAATTCCAGGAAAGATTGTAAATTACCTAAAGGGATGCCAGATTCTCAAGGGTAGTTCTAGAATGCTGACAAGGGTCTATGTGTTAGGGTGAGCAAAATTGAGGAAAGATGCTGGACTCCCTTGAAGGCATGAGGCATCTGGAATAATGGCTATAGGATTAGGCAACATTTTATCTCCATGACCTTCTGCATTGAGCAAGGGTACAGCCTGCATCTTTATCCATTATGCAGAGCCACCCGAAATAACTTCTATTTCCTTTACCTTAGACACTTTTTGCCTCCCTGCTACTGGCTATATAAGACCTATAAAATTTTAATATTCAATCTGACATGAAAGAAAGATCCAAGGTGTCTAGAAAATCTGCATCCTTCATTATTCTCTGGTGATACATTGGAAACTACCAAGAATTCACAAGAATAAAATTCAAACTTCCAACTGTGACCTTGGTCTACCTCTGCTTAGGTCTCCAGGTTCATCTTGTGTCTATGCACCCCTGCTCTCTGTGCATGAGCTACACAGCCCTTCTGAGAGTTCTTGGAAAATAGCATTATCGCAATTTGCAATTATCCTAATCACTTGCTTGCTTGTTTTTAAATTCTCCTCCCCTATAGCTCCCTATGAAAATCTATAGGTCTGTTTTGTGCACGGCTTGGTTTCATACACTAATATTAACACTCAGTAAATAGCTGTTGAATAGATACAGGATTCTCCCAGAATGAGAGCAAAGACTACAGATGTGTGGCAATAACATACTATTTCTTCACCAGACTTTATCTCCCCCACTTCCCCTTCCTTCTTCTTCCTGAATCTACTGCTAGAACACATTTCCCAGCCTCCCTTGAAATTGGCTGTGGCCAAGTAACCTAGTGCTGGCCAAAGGAATGTGAGTGGAAACTATATACACACTTCTAAGCCTGGTTTGTGGAAACCTCTCACCATGCAGTCCTCCCAGTCCTTTTCATCTTGATGGGCATGGCAATCTTATTGAGCCACAGGATAGAAGGAGTCTGGGTTCCTGAGTCATCACTTTGAGGCAAGCCACGGGCTCATCAGTAACATCTATTTTAGGTTCACATATAGTAGAAGTAAATTTCTATCACAACTGAGCCATCATATATATTTGGGTTTATTTGTTACAGCAGCTGATACTTAACTAATACAAATGTAAATCTGATTCATCCCTGATAATGGTTACCTCCCTCCCCAATTCTTATCAAAATATGTGGTTACAATCATTATATGTTGGGATTTAATTCAATTGTGAGAGACTTCTTAATATTCTGCTGGGGTTGGGGGTGCCTTATGACCCATATATCTTCATGAAAGAATGACCCAGGCTTGAGGCATCACATTTCCTGACTCTTGTATGATTCTGTGAGTACATGATGGAGTTATCCCAGCCACTTCTGGCCGCACTGCACCTGACCCCAAAAGGACACTGCCACAAAGAAGAATGTTGTCACCATGGCATTCTGATTTCTCGTTTTCCAGGCCCACTTCCTGGCTTGATTTCTCAATCTAATGGTCTCAGTTACTGGTTACTAGTTTTAACAGGTGCTTTTTACCAAATGCAGTTTGGAGTCTTCAGGAATATGGGGCTTGTTTACAGGATCCTTAGTCCCACAGGGTTTGGGTGATTTTTTGACAGACATTCCAATTCCTAAAGACCCTCGCCCAAATATACAGAATCCTAGATCTCAGAGTGGGAAGGACTTCAAGAGTCATCGAGACAAATATTCCACTTGGTACATAATTCTCCCCACATCCTCTGGCCTCTGTTGGACACTTTCAAACAAGAGGGTTCTTCCCTATCAAGACGCCTTCCTATTGTGACTTCATGTGGTCTCTCTATACTTGCATTCACTCTGCTCCATCATCCACATGACAGTCCTTCAGGAATTCAGCTCTACTCTCACGACCTTCCAGAAGCTTTCCCTTCCAGACCCCAGAGACTTTTACTCTTTGGTTTCCAACCTGAGCTCCTTGCAGGGGCATCAGGACCCCAGAGAAGGGCTAAGGGACTAAATGTGATTGGCTTCCACTGACCTCAAGCAGTTCATTTCCTTGACATAAAAAGATGATGCACAGACCATCTCCCCATCCTTCTCCTCTCACCTCAAGCAGATCTCTATCACAAGGGCCCGGAGTGTGTAGAAGCCAGACAGAAAACAGGATATTGCATTACAGACACTGCTCAGATATCTGATTCTGGATGGCGGTGCTGCGCTAGGGAGATGACTCCCCGCCTTTCCCAGCAGCCATGTCTGCCACGCTTACCCTGGCTCTTGAAGCTTCCTCCACTCAACCTGAGTCCTGTGGCTTTTGCTTGCTTGAGCTGCTGGGCTGTTCAGAGGCAGCAGAAGGAGAAAAACTTTGGGATCTGAAAGACTTGCAGTCAAGTCTCAAATATGCTCGTAAGTAGAGTGAGATCTTGGATGAGTTACACAGTCTCTGCAGCCTCATTTTCTTACTAGGAAGATGGAAAAGCCACTGGTGTATCCCCACAGGCCATATGAGAATTGCATGAGGCATCCACCCAGGGCACCGGCACAGTGCCTGACACAGAGGCACCCGTGATCGCTGCAGCTCTCATTCCACATTCAGTTGTCTGTGAGCCACCTTCTGGTATAAAGGAGACTCAGAAGCAAAATTCTGCTCACCGGGGTGTCTGGATTTTACCAGGAACAACTAGCATTTCTTTTGTGAACCAAGTTATTCATTCCTTTTAACCAGAGCCACAGGGTGAAGCCCTCCCTCTGCTGGTCCAGGGCCTGTGAGCTCCTGATGTACGGGGCACTTTGGGAGCCCACTCCATCGTTAAGACTCAGACTTAGCTAAAACTGGGAATCATGTGAAAATAATTCTTTACACCTCTTCCAAGTACTTATTATGTGCAGGATCAGGCCACGTATTGCATGTGGGTCAGCTGATCGCTCTTTGTCCTAGCACCCCACCAGCAGGCCACTGCACCACCTGTGAGGAGTTCCGGTGCGGGCAGCCTCTTTCAAGATGGGGCAGACGGCTTTGTGTGGGGCTCGGGGAGAGGCTTCTGCAGAATGGATCACTCCAGCTCCCCCACATCTGCTAGTTCATGCAGCAAACATCCACAGAGTGAGCGCAGTGCACCAGGTCGTGTGGAGGAGCTCCGCTGGGGGAGCGATGGCTGTGGCCGTGTGGCATGCTCAGGATCCTGCAGGGAAGCGCAGCCCAGCGCATGCACGTCCCAGGAGAACTGCGAGGCATCTCAATAGGTTATAGGTTCCATGGCTAATATATGTCTCAGCAATGTTCTTTCCCAAGAAAGTTCTCTGATTGTAAATTCGTTAACATGCCTGGGAAGTCTGTGTGAGTGGGGACAGAACGTCTAGCGTGACCCAAACTCGGTGAAGACAGTGCCCTTTGCTCACGACGCTCCTCTGAAACCTGAAGATCGTTCTCTGGGAAATGTTTCTCTGCCACATCGTGGCCCCCAACTCTGGAGTGTGGCTGCTGGAGGGAGCACTTCAAAGTCAATGGAGCTGGGCCTCCCTGGAGGGGTGTGGTGGTGAATAGCAAGTCATGGTCACTTTCTGACCCAGGGACACCCTTCTCTACTAGGCGTACAGTTTGCGCCTCACCTGTCCCATCTTGAGACTCTCACCCTCCCTGTCCCTTCCATCACCTTCCTCTTCACCTTCTTCTCTTGCAGCCAACTTTCTTCTCTTGCATAAAAATAGGGACCTTTTTGTTTCTACAACTTTTAGTGCTCTCAGTCTCTGGTGCTCTCAGATTACCATCTTGGTTGGGATGGAGCACACTGGAACCACAGAGGGAACTTTAAAACCAAAGATATGCTGGCCCCACCCCATACTCATTAACTCAGAATCTCCTGGGGGTGCTGCCAAGCAGCTGGGTTTTGAAAAGCACCCTGGGGAGTCTCTAAGCTGCTGGGGCTGAGAACCCATGGCCTAGGGGACACCCCATTCCCCATCCCTACCTCGTCCCTCGTCCCTCGCGGCTCATGAATTTCGAGCTTCTGCTCCCTTTGACACACTGGGAAGAATTCCCACGACCCTCTCTCCCTCTACTCTGCCTAAGAGAAACTCACCTTCCCGATGAGAAGGCAAATGTTTTAATGCCACTGGCTGCCTTTCTCCAGTGGTGAGCTAATGTGCTCGGCATCTCCTCAAAATTGGGACCTCTAGAAATCAGCTAATGCCTCCGTAGAAATTCATAAACCAGACCAGTGGTTGGCAAACTCATTAGTCAACAGAGCCAAATATCAACAGTACAACGACTGAAATTTCTTTTGGCCGAAAACTGACTTCTGCGCATGGGCCACCGAGTTTCAATCACACCACACGTGGTATTTTGTAGAAGAGCCACACTCAAGGGGCCAAAGAGTCGCATGTGGCTCCTGAGCCGTGGTTTGCCAAGCACTGAACCAGACGAAAGCTACAGCCAAGGTGCTCCTCAGCTATAGAGATGGGCACCCCATCTCCAATGGTCCCATAAATGAGGAAGGAGGCTTACTAGGGACCTGCTGCTCCCCTGCAGCCTGACAGGAGCAGAGAACAAACCACAGTGGCCATGGCCAGGGCTGTCTGCACCCAGAGAGCCTGAGAGCTGCATGAAACCACATGCTTTTTCTAATAACATCATTGGGATTTCCGTGTCTCTTTTGGGGGAGACAGGAGTTCTGCAGCAGGAAGCACACAGGTGTTTGGAGCATAGATTCCAGTGAGTGCATCACCGTGACTGGGACTCAGAACCCCACGTGCATGTGAGGCCATCCCCATGCCATCTCTTGGAGACTCTGCATACACTGAAAACTTCCACAGCCTCATGGGAATCAGCCTCCATGTGAGGATGTCACCACACAGTGAGGCTGGAGGGTCCAGAAAATCCCTAACCTGTAGCCCAAGGTTCCCTGACAGCCTGCGGAAAAGTGTTCCTTCTCAATAGAACAGGCAGCATTACTGAACTGTGACTCCTGTCTGAGGTGAGCAGTGAGTGAGGGTGCACTCTGGCAGACCTTGCTGGAAATCACAGGAGCTCACCTGCTTTTGATAAATCTCTAAAGAAGGGGGACATAACTGCCTGTTAGTGTCCCAAAAGAGATACTGACTGTGGGGATCAGATATCACCCAAAGGCAACAAGAGAGAGGAAAATACTCCCCACACTGCCCAGGGAACCCATCCATCCTCCTCCCCGGAACAGAAATGCTCAGAAAGTCAAAGATTTCACCCTCAGACAGAGGGCAGGAGAAGTGTGGATAATGATGGGCATTACCAGACTCTAGGCTGAATATAAGAAAATAAAATATTTGGGGGATCAAAAGAATAAAATGCAATCTTATGGAGTAAAAGCATCCCTAATTTGGGCAGGAAAATATGGGACATCTAATCAAACTCCCAAATTTCATATAAACAACTATTTTTTTACTGTAAGTATATCCCAAATGTTGCATGGGACATACGTATGCTAATAACAACAACAACATTATTTGTTGTTTGAAGAGTTTAACTGAGCAGCCTGTATTTTTGTGTGCTCAATTTAGCAATCCTAGGCAGAGCCCCCAGTGTCTGAACAGGAGCAGAGCTCACCTGATGGATTCTGCAATGCGGGTGCTCTCCTTTCGCCGGTCACTGGACAACCGGCCAATCAGGTAGGAGTAATCCAGGCCACTGCAGAACACGCTGCCCACCGCACTGAGGAGCAGCAGCTTGCTGTCATCTGTGGCCGCGTTGCAGAGGGCTCGCCGGACCTCCTTCATGATCTGCGGGCAGATAAGGATTTGTGGAGATGTTAAGTGTCTGTCTGGAAGTCAGGGCAGAGGTGAGTAAATCTGCTCTGTCTGAGCAGGGAGTCTCCTCTGATTTTGAGCCATGTCCAGACGTCGCAAAGAAACAGCAAAATCAGAGCTCACCTACACTCTCCTTGAAGCAGGCACAGAAGGCTATGGAGGAGGCAGAAGGGTCACTGGCTGCAGACTTGGAAGCCTGGCTTGGAGTCCTTTACTCCTTAGTAACTCTGCAAATCTTCCAGCATTTGCTTGGTTAGCCCTTTTCAAGGCGAGGGGGGAAATTCCTGCTCATAGTAAGTGAGCTATGTAAGCCATCTTTAAAAAGCCAAATTAATTCTATACTCTTGCTCATCCTTAATTCAACAAAGACTCCTACACAGCTTATGGATGAGAAGTGGGCTTTGCCATCAGACCCATAAAATGTTCAAGGTACCAAAAAAAATAACCATCCAACATAAATTCTGTAACTAGCTCAACTATCACTCAAAAGCAAGGGTAAAGAGTAGACATTTTCAATAAGAGAATGTTTACCACACTTAGGCTTTCACTGAAAGAACTAAAAAAGGATGCACTTCAAGAAGAAAATTATATTCAGAAGAGGAAAAAAAAAAAAAGCCACAAAACCTGACATTCAAGGAACAAAGCCACCAAAGAAACTGGTGAATATGTTAATAAATCAATATAAGAACCGATGATAAAAATCACCATACTAATATTGACTAATGGGGGGTGCACAAGGTAGATCTATGGAGATTTAGGGCTTTAATATGTAGAGAGCTCTGGGAGCGTTTGTTCTAGTGGCAAACCCAGGAGCCCCTGAGGGGACCGGTCTGATTCAGGCCAGCAAGTGGCCACCGAGTCGTGACAGCGGCAGTGTATTCTGTGTAAGAAGGTAAAGAAGGGTGATGCTTTTAACACAGTTTTCTTTAAACAAACCGGTTACATTATAAAACTCAGGTCCTTCAAGAAGGTCCCCAGCCATCAGTCCAAATTGGATTATCAACATGAGACAGGCAACGGCATAGATAGTATACTCACCAGACACAATTTTTTTTTTTTAAATTAAGAAATGGAGTTTGTACATTTGTTGCATCAACAAAACTCAAATTTGCTTTCCATTTAATTCACAAAGGAGGTGGCTGCTCTCTACATATTAAAGCCCTAAATCTGTTTGTGAGAATTATTCCCCTGTCACTCGCTCCTGCTGTTGGTGTCCACTAGAGAAAGCATCCTCCTCCCCTGCTACTTCTAGCATCTGACCTGCCATGGGTTGGAACCAGATAATCAAAGGCATCCGAAGGGGTGTGAAATGGGAGGAGATCAGGGTCCCCCTCTCCACTTCATCTTTACTTGCTGAGCTCAGTCTCCCAGGGCCACCTCCACTGCAGCCACCCTCCTGAAGGCCTTCCCACATGTACCCAAGTAAAGGCACCCTCTTCCTTCTCCTGACAGCCCAGGTATTTAAACTCCCCGCTCTGACGCTCTCCCTTGTCCAATGTGTGCATCCTTAGCTAATCCTGCCTCCTACCTAATTCCAATCTCTGTGTGGGCAGCCTCAGTGATGGCCCTCGGTGATCCCTTCCTATGGTATTCACGCCCCTGTGCAATCCCCAGCCCTGGCATGTAGACCAGACTAAGTGACTCACTCCCAGCCATGAGAATACAGCAGAGTAATGGGATGTCCCTTTCACAAGAAGATTTGGATACAAAGAGACTAGAGCTTGTCCTGGCTCTCTTCTCCTGCTGACTCCCTTTCTTTGAGCTCTCAGTCTGGGGGAAGCAAGTAGCCAGCTAGTGAGTAGAGCATGGAGCAGTTACTCATAGTCCACGTGGAGTAGCCACATAGCAAGGCACTGATGTCTCTGGCCAGTGAGGACCTAAGACCTGCCGACCCTGGGGAAGCTTGGAAGTGGATTCTCCTCTGTTGAGCCATTGGTTGAGGCTGCAGCCCCAGCCAACACCTTGACTGCAGGCTTATGAAAGACCCTGAGTCAGAGGCATCAGCTAAGCCACGACTGGATTCCTGACCCATTGAAACTGTGACATAATAGATGTTTGTTGTCTTAAGACGCTAAGTTTAGGGCACTTTGTTGTGCAGTAACAGATTAATACAATCCCTTACGAGCTGAAATGGTATTCTATTCATCTGAATAACCCTTGTAACACCTAGTCCAGAAATTTGCACATACTAGAATTTAATGAACATTTATTAAATTGAGTGAATGGCACAGTATCCAACCATCAAAAAGTTTATAGACTAATGGGGGGAATGAGACATTTAACAAATTATCACACAATTACATGTTCACTAACAGCTTCAATAAGTTCTGGAAGGCAGGTGTGCACAGTGCTAGGAAGGCATCTGAAAGACCTGATTCGGTCAGGGAGGTGAGGAAAGACTCTTGGTGTAAGTGATGGCTGAGATGAGATCTGAATGAAGAGCAAAGGTCTGCTAAGTTAGAAGGAAAAGAAAATTTTTTGGTCAGAAAGACAAGTATATACAAAGGTTCTGGGTCAGATGTGGGCATGGGAAAAGGCCAGAGTAACTGGAATGCAAAAGGAGAGAAGAGTGGTGTGTTAGAAGAGATGGAATTGGAGAGATGGGCAGGGTCAGAATGCATCATACACACACACACACACACACACACACACACACACACACACACACACCGGCCACATTACAGTTTTTGATTCTTAACAATAGAAAGTGTATCTTGATTAGATTAGCTCTTCCAGCTGATCACTCTGCCTACCCTGTGGTGAATAGGTTAAAAGGCAGGACATGTGAAAAGGGGCAGATTGTTAGCAGTTTATTACAATAGTCCAGAAAAGACGGCCTCGAGGTCTGGACTATAAGGATTATGAAGGAAATTGAGAGGAAACACATTTGAGGGCTATTCAAGATACTCAAGATGGTGTGGATACAGGGTATGATCAAGGGGGCCGAGTGTGCCCATGGATGCTGGTGTATGTCTCTGAGCACTGGAGAAAACCAGGAATTGAGTGAGGGCATGGGGTCTTCTCCTAATGGAGAAGCTGATGAGCTTTGAATCACTGAGATGTTGGGCAATCTATGTTGCTAGCTCTTTCCTTGAGGAGCATTCCATTATTTTTCTGGTTCTTAGCTTTATTCCAGAAAGGAGAATTATTACAACATACCCACTGGCCTCAGAATCTAGTTAACAAACCTAGTAATGTATGAATTTTTGTATGAGGCAACTGTCAATTAGAAAAAGAAATTCAATTATGACCATGAAGGTGGCCCTTCCAGTTCCTCCAAGAGTGAGCAAGACTGAGTCTGCTGGTGGCTATTAAATGGCCTCTGTTTTCTCTTAACAATGACAGGAACACCCATCGAATACCTTTCTATGTGCCAGGTACTCTGTGAGCCTCTTTGCAGACAAGCAGGACACTGTATAACTTCTAAAAGTGAGGGAGCTCAGGGAGACAAAGAAACTTCCTAAGGTAACAGACGTGGTGAGTTGATGCAGGCAGGACTAGACTCCAAAGTCCACATTCCTCCACTAACACCACCTTTTCATTTCAACAGGAGCTTTCTCTCAGGACTACTTTACCAGTTGCCGGTTTATCCATAGTCAATCCACACAGTTGTGGAGCAGCTAAAAACAACAGATCAATGTGTTGTTTTTCTCCATTTTTCTACCATTCTGTTACCAACTGACACCAATTGGAAATGGACCTCTAATTAACCAAGACCACAGGAGGTAAGAACTGATACACCTTACATCAGTCAGAGGCAACACATTTTCCATGATGAGTAACAGTTCACACACAAGGCTGCTCCAAGGGGCCAGGATGAACTGGGAGACTTCACACTCACTCGATTAATCGAAGGAAAATGCTGTGTCTTTTAAAGCATGCTTTTAAAAAGCAGTGAAGTAGGAAAAAAAATCCAAAAATTGGTCTCAGTTGGATGCTTTATGATGAGCTTAAAAATAACAAGGTTTGCAGGTGTATAAACTTGTACAGAGCAACCTTGGAGGTAAGTCATGATCTGGACTTCTCTGAAGCTGACACAAAATCCCCAGATAGTTCCTGAAGGTGGAGGAGGGAGAGAGCCCAGAACATCATGCTTAAAAGAGGGGCAACAAGCAGCCATGAAACCCACAAACTGCACAGATTTTAGCTACATCCCTTCTCTTACACTTGGCATCATTCCTGAAGGTCACACCCACAATCCCATAAAATAGCCCTAGTGTATGATAAGACAGGTGATTGCAAGGTCAAGAACTTAGCAATTCCCACCCCACCCCACCTGGGCCTCCTTAAGTGTACTGGATATACTGGGCCAGTGGTCGGCAAACTCATTAGTCAACAGAGCAAATATTAACAGTACGACGACTGAAATTTCTTTTGAGAGCCAATTTTTTTTAACTTCTTCTAATGCCACTTCTTCAAAAGATATTTTGTGGAGGAGCCACACTCAAGGAGCCAAAGAGCCGCATATGGCTTATGAGCCACAGTTTGCCAACCACTGTCCTCAGATGTCAGAATAAATAGCATTAAAAAAGTTACCTAGAAAAAATAAATTGAACTTCATCACAATTTCAGAACTTGTATGTCCAAGGACACTATATAAAGAGTCAAATGAAAACCCACAGAATGGGTGGGAATACTTTCAAATCATATACCAGATAAGGTTATGGTATCTAGAATACAGTATAAAGAACAATAAAGACACAATAATAAAAAACACCAATTTTTTTAAAATAAAGTATTGAGGTGAAGGCTTGAGAAGGGGTAGGAGCTACATAGAGGGGGTAAAGGAGAGAATGGGGACATCTGTAATAGCGTCAAGATAAAAAAAAAACTTAAAAGACAAAAAAAAAAAGATAGGAAAAGGATTGGAATAAAAATTCTCCACAGAAGACAGACAAATGGCCAATAAACATATGGAAAGGTTCCCATTAGGAAAATGCAAATTAAAATCACAAGATACCACCTCACAACTAATAAAACCTAATTACCTAGCATGACTACTAAAAAAGATACAATAACCCTGGCCAATGTGACTCAGTGGTTTAGCATTGGCCTGCGCACTGAAGGGTCATGGGTTCAATTCCTGGACAAGGGCATATATCTGGGTTGCAGGCTCAATCCCTGGCTCTGGTTGGGGCAAGTGTCAGAGGCAACCAATCAATGTCTCTTACATCAATGTTTCTCTCTCTTTTCCTCTCCCTCCCTCTAGAAATTGGAAAAAAATATCCTCAGGTGAGGATTCACAACAATAAAAAGATACAATTACAAGTGTAAGGGAAGTTGTGGAGAAATTAGAAGTACAAGTGTCAGGGAGGATGTGGGGAAATTAGAATCCTCACACACTAATGGTATAAATGTAAAACGGTGAGTACCTGTGGAAAACAGTTCGGCAGTTCCTCTGAAAGATAAACTTAGTTACCTTATCACTTAGCAATTCTACAATTAGCAATATACCCAAGAAAATGTATGTTCAGCCCCAACCGGTTTGGCTCAGTGGATAGAGCGTCAGCCTGTGGACTGAAAGGTCCCGGTTTGATTCTGGTCAGGGGCATGTACCTTGGTTGCAGGCACATCCCCAGTAGGAGGTGTGCAGGAGGCAGTTGATGGATGTTTCTCTCTCATCGATGTTTCTAACTCTCTATCCCTCTCCCTTCCTCTCTGTAAAAAAACAATAAAATATATTTAAGAAATTAAAAAAAATGTATGTTCATACAAAAACGTGTATACAATTGTTCACAGTGATATTATTCATAATTGTCGAAGTGGAACCAACACAAATCTCCTTCCGCTGAAGAACTAATTCACTAAATGGAAAATATCCATTCCATGAATATTTTCCTGTGAAGCCCTGGAACACACTGCAACACGGGCAAATGGTGAAAACGTGATGCTGAGTGAAAGTCTGTCGTGGAAGGCCATCTACTATATGATCCATTTCTATGAAATGCCCAGAACAGGCAAATCTACAGAGACAGGAAGTAGACCAGTTACTGTCAGGGGCTGGGGGGAGAGAGAATGCAAGTGATTGCTAATGAGTACGGGGTTTCCATTTGGGGTGATGGAAATATTGTGTAATTAGTGGTGATGGTTGTGCAATTTTGTAAATATATTAAAAAATATCACTGAATTGTTCATTTTAAAAGGGTGAAATTTATGGTATTTGAATTATGTCAAAAAATGTAAGTGAGCTGAGTAAATATCATCCCATCTGCAACAATGAAATTGGACTTGCTTATTATAATGCAGCCTGAGGCTTCTAAGTTCTGACTAGCTGACTGAATCTCTCCATTTACCAGTGTCTTCATCTGTAAAATGGGACAATAACGTTACCTCGTCAGAAAGATCAAATGGAAAATGCACAAAAGTGATTAGCAAATTGTGTACTGCCATCAAGTGTCTGTGTGCACGCTGGCTACTTCCATCAGACGCCCCCTAAAAGAACAGAGAAGCCAGCACCCCAATCTGATGGATGAGAGGCTCTCCCCAGCCTGCCCCTCCCCTCTGATCCTGTCCCCTCACCTCGGGGGTCAGCGCGTTGTTGTCTGAGGTCTGACTGGACAGCAGGATGTGCGTGAACCCCTCTTCCTTCCGCACAACAATGTCCCGAAACCGACAGTTGCTTTCGTTCTGGCGGACGCTGTACCTGAGCCTCTTGTCAAAGACGTAGTCCTTCTCCGTGTCCAGCTTCCTCTTCGAGCTGTGCATGTTTAATCCCCCGTTGGTCAGAGCAGAGCCTTCCAAAATCAGATAAACCAAGTGAGACACTAAGACGGGGACCATCGTGCAAGAGCAAGCTCAGAGAGCATTCAGACTGTCACTGGAAGCGTCGGATGTGGCTGGGACCCCCAAGCAGCCTCTGTTCTGGATAGGGTAGGACCTGGGCCACACATGCTGTATCTCCAAATTCAGAAGAAGATAGAGAGGGCTCTCTGAGAAAGACCCCATGTGACCCTTGATTCCCCTCTCCCACACACAGGCCTGCTTCTACTTGGACGCCTTTTAGCAAAAAGAAATCACTGCACAGAAACCAGTTTGGCTCAGTGGATAGAACGTCAGTCTGCAAACTGAAGGGCCCCAGGTTCGATTCTGGTCAAGGGCATGTACATTGGTTGCGGGCACATCCCCAGTGTGGGGTGTGCAGGAGGCAGCTGGTCAATATTTCTCTCTCATCGATGTTTCTAGCTCTCTATCCCTCTCCCCTCCTCTCTGTGAAAAATCAACAAAATATATTTTTTTTAAAGAAGTTAAAAAAAAAAAAAGGGAATCACTGCTTTGAAAGTGTACAGTCACAAGACAAAAGACTTGCAGCTCTATTTGTAACCATCAAAGATTGGGAGCAACCAATATGTCCTTTTCCAGGTGCGTGGATAAACAAGCAATGGTCCATTCATACAATGGGATATCATTCTACAATAAAACTAAGTTAGCTACCAAGTCACAAAAATACAGGAACGAATCTTAAATGCAGACTAAGTTAAAGAAGCTAGTCTGAAAAGGCTACACATTTCCTGAATCCAATTATAAAACATTCCAGAAGAGGCAGAGGGTAGAAACTGTGAAAAGGTCAGTGGTTGCCAGGAGTTCGGGTGGAATGAGAAGGGGTGGATAGGTGAAGCTCACAGGATTTCTTTTAGGGCAGTGAAACTGTTCTGTATGACACCATAATGATGAATATGAGATAGTACACATTTGTAGAATCCCAAAGAACTTTATAGCACAGACAGTGTGCCTTACAGTATGCAAATTTTTTTTAAAAAATGAAGAAACTGGGAGATTCCCAGGATGGAATGCAGCATGTGATCAAAGAATGTAACTGTTTTACAAAGGTAAGAACCAACCTTGATGAAATGGGTGGGGAAAGGTCCTGACCTAGGGAATGAGAGAAGTCTGTAGAAACTACAGGAAAAATAAACTGTACAGAAACGTGTATTCTAATTGACAAAGCTGATTCCCACGGGAGTAGGTGGGAGTTAAAATTTCTGATACCATGATATATGTGTGCTGGAAATGAACAGCTAAGTAGACAGTGAAGCAGACGACAGGGACAAGTTTTCTCACTGACAGAGTGAGACTTACAGATAAGCAAGGGAAGGAGGTTAAAATGATCCATGTGATGACGGATTAGAATTGAAGACATCAACGGGAGCTCAAATTTATTAGCTTAACACAGTTACAGAAGACTACATACAGAAATATTTACAGATAAGTGTATGTACACAGGTTAATATATACGCATGCATTTCCTTGTTCTGTCGGCTGAGAGAATCAATGACATGCCAATAGCAGCAAGCACACCCTGGACCCAGATCTCCGTTTCTGATACCGTTCTCAATAAAAGGAACCAGGGCTCCCTGGAGAAATGGCTAATTCTAGGAAACACATCAGATAGGCTTGTCATGGCTGAAAGAAAGGAAGCACTAATTTTTTTTTAATTACCTTACAATGATGGGATTTTCTAAAAGGACACAGGGCAATTAAAGAGCTCATGATGGCCAAGGATGGGGCAAGCTGAGCAACAAAATCAAGTAGTGTTGCATTATAACTGAAAGGGTAAAACCAAGATCCACATGTCCACACGGATATAAATAAATGATGAAATGAGTAATAAATGGGAGAGAAGAGACTTCTCCCATGCACAAGAACTCGAGAGTCTGTGCAGACACTCTGCCTTCAAGGGGGAGGAGCATAGCATCACACTCCCTAAGTGTGGGCTGCACACAGTGACTCCTTCCAAACAGTACAATATGGAAAGTTGGGGGGGTTGCAGGGAGGTGAGTAACTGACAGTGGAGAACCCTGATGGACAGTTGAAGAAGCCAAGGCCACCTCAGCCAGATGATCAGGGTCAACATCCACAGTGATAAGTCAAGGTGACAGCATGTACCCTTGATTATGAGGGGAAGAGAGTGGCACTTCACCTGTATAGTCTTCCTCTCAGTAACCCACATTGTGAGGTCAATGTCAAACAAATGCAGATTGAGGGGCATTCAACAAAGTACCTAATCAGTACACTTCAAAGCTGTGAAGGAAAATCTGAACCGGGCCATGATGACTAGAAAACCAGGAAAGTCTGAGAAACGGGCATAGCCAGGAGGAACCAAAGGAGATGTGAGGATGAAAAGTAATGTGGGATCTAAAAAAACCTGACTGATGTTTGGACTTTAGTTAAGAAAAATGCATCAATATTAGTTCATCCACTGTAACAAATGTACCGCACAAATGCAAGATATTAATAATAGGGGAGGCTGAATGTGGGTATATAAAAACTTTTTGTATCAGCTTCCAAATTTCTCTGTAAACCTGAACCAGTTTAAAAAGTGAAGTTTATTTGCCCTGGCCAGCGTTGTCCAGTGGCCAGAGTGTTGGCCCACGCACTGAAGAGTCAGGGGTACATGATTCCTGGTCAAGGGCATGTACCTGGGTTACAGGTTCAATCCCCAGCCCGGTTGGGGCACATGTGGGAGGCAACCAAGTGATGTGTCTCTCTCAGGCATCTACATTTCTCTCTCTCTCTCTCTCTCTCTAGCAATAGGAAAAAAAAAAATCCTTGGGTGAGGATTAACAACAAAAGGGGAAGTATATTATAATGAACACATTTCAACAGTAAGTTAATAAACCACAACATGCTTCTCCGGTAATTCTGACATGCAGGAAGTTTGTTGTGGTCCAGTAGTTCTTACACTTGAGCAGGCATCAGGACCCCCCAGAGAAAACCCAGCCTGCCGGGCGCACCCTACGGTGCTGCCATCACTCCCAAGACCAGGCTCTAAGAAGCAAGGTCCAGACAACCCAGGTATCTTCCTCAGCAGGCGGTTCCCCACCCCCAGGCGTGAGAAGTCTCCCTCAAGCCCTAGATTTGCACAGTGCTGAAGGCCTGAAAATCTTGAGTTCAGCATTTCTGCGGGGGGCACAGGATGGAGCCCCACCTCAAAAACAACCTCACTAGGCTGCAGTGATGTGGGAGGGAGACTACAAGGAAACTAAGAGAAGGATTTACTCAGTGCTAAGCATTACTGGATCTTTCGTTTCATTTTTGGCAAGGAAGGGAATGAAGTCACGATGGAGACGGCAATGCTGCATCCCAACCAGGAGCTGGTCCCCTGAGGCCAAGCCTGGCCCTCCTGGAAAATTACTGTGGACAGAGTGGACTGGTCCTGGCTGCTTATCCTCAGAGAGCAGGACCAAATGACACACATATTTAAAGGACCGATGATATAAGTAAACAAGGAATAAATGTTAGCTTTGGTTTTCCAGTCATCATGGCTCAGCTCAACATAAAAGCACCATATTTTAATAATCCTCTCTCTCCAGCAACACGGTAAGCATTTTGAGGGCAGGACCACTGTCACACACACGCAGGCCAGCATATCACCTGTCCACAGGAATTGTTCATTGGCCTCTGGAGCCCTGGGTCTGCCTCTGGGTGGCCTCAGATCCTTAACTAGCATTAGGGGTCCTGGGAGCTCAAGAACCGAGCCAAAGGCAGAGACCAGGAAGGGCTTCACCGGATCCCTCCCTGGGAATGCTGGTACACCCCCTTCCTCCCCAGGTGAGCACCCAGCCTGGAAGGGGCACAGAGGCAGCGGTGTCTGTGTCCTCCCCGCTGCCCCGAAGCTGCCTAATCTGGTACTTTTCCATCCCTCGAAGCCACTGGGCTTTGTCAACCACCACAATGCTGGCAAAGTGATCTAATGAACTCTGGAAAGTAAGCTTGAGTACTTAATTAAAAGGCTTGTGTAAAGGGAGCTGTGTCTTCAGGATAACCTCAAAACCTTCAGCTCCATGGAAGGGCTTCCTAATTGGGGCTGCCACAGTTTCTGCAGTGGCTCAGGTGGATCCGGATCCACAGGGTGGTCCTGGGGGGAGAGGTGAGCCCGTTACAGACTGGGGAGAAGTCAGAACCTCGGGGCACTGGTACATCGATGCTTTCCAGGGCTGGGGAAGGGTCTGAATAAAATCTTCCCACACCCCAACCAAACAGGTGCTAACGAACAATTACATCAAGGAGGAGGGTTAGCTGTGTTGAGGGTTAGCTCTATATATTGTCTCTAATTTTCTCAGCAGTCTGATGAAATCACCAGGGCCAGTCCATTTTGCAGATAAGGAAAAGTGAATAATGTGCTGGAAGTCACAGAAGTAAAGCCAGGGTAGGAGACAGCTGTCTCATTTGGATTCATTCATTCACTCAAAATCTATTATTTCCTCCCTATAAGCTATCACAGAGGTCAGCAAACTCATTAGTCAACAGAGCCAAATATCAACAGTACAACGATTGAAATTTCTTTTGAGAGCCAAAATTTTTAAATTTAAACTTCTTCTAGCGCCCCTTCTTCAGAATAGACTCGCCCAGGCTGTGGTATTTTGTGGAAGAGCCACACTCAAGGGACCAGAAAGCCGCGTGTGGCTAGAGAGCCGAGGTTTGCTGACCACTGGTATCATACTAGATGATAGATGTCCAAAAAAGTAACTGAAAAAATAAGACCCCTACCCCAAGAGCCTGCTTGGTGGGGGCCGTGAAAAGTAAAAAAGCCAATTAATACTGTATTAGGTCCTGTTTCTGACTGTAAGTGGCTACCACGGGTCCTGTGTTTTAGGAGACTCAGATGAAAGTCATCCCAGAGCCCAACAAACTAACTTCAAACAGAGCTGCCCTCAAGCCTCTCCCCTTCTGGGACACTGAACCTTCGAAAAGACTGCAGCATGGCAGGGAAGACGCCATGGGAAATAGAGCACTC